TCAGCTAACCCCAGCAGAGTGGCTCAATGGTCTAGGCGTATCGTCAATCTGGCGACGGCAGTAGCTTATACCATGGCGGCGACTGTGCCGGCCGCTTACGGAAATACTAGTATCGATCGACAGCCAGACCTGGTGGATAGTGATCAAGATGCCGAGGGCGATGAAGATGATGAATTGTATCAAGGACTCCCGCAATCGACGACTACATTACCACAGGGAAATGCTGATACCCCCGCAAATCTTGGAAAGGACGTCGAGGCAATTACAGCCCACGAAAGTGAAGAGAGCGATGACGTTGATGCTGGGGAGGAGAATACTCTTCAGACCAACGATAGGAACGACGTTGCTGATATCGATGCGGATGCGGAGGCAGATGCGGACGAGGAGACTGAGGCTGTCGGGGCAGTGAAATTCCCAGATGGCGATGTCAAATCTGACAGTGGCGATGAGGAGGATGCCGATGACCCGGATGTTGAATACGAAAACGAATCCAGCGAAGTAAAAGCAGTTTCCGACAGTGAATCCTCTGAAGAATCGGAAGTAGACGAGGAATGGGAGGCCGAAAGTAACGACGGAGAAGATGCAGATGCAGATGCGTTAAATCCGAACAATTGCATGTAAGTTCGAGAATGATATCCCACGAAAAAACAAAAATGATCACTAATTAGATGTAGTGTCTGTGGTCAAGATGAAGAACACGATCCTAGTGAAGAATTCGAGGAATATTTGTCATGTGCTGTTTGTGGTGATCATTGTAAGTTTATGGTTTTTAAAAAGCTTGGCTGCCCCTGACGAAAGTGTGGAGTTGAGCCTAACATATCGGGCCTTAGGTCATCGCCAATGTGCGCGAGAACGAGGAGCTTTAAATAATGACGAAGGTATTTTATTTTATTTTTTTGTTCTTAGTTGCGCCTAGTTTCTGCTTTAAACTAACTCGTGCACTTTATTAGATGCGGAAAATTGGAGATGTCCTGGTTGTGTTAAAAACAAATTAGAACCCGATAAACCTGAAGAAACCGCATCTCGGCGGAAATCAGAGACGTCAAACATTGCAAGAGACCTACTACCCGCTCACAGCGAAACTTTAGGACCAGAGTCTCATTCGATTTTCAGTTCGTTAATTGTCGACGATGATCCACTTGATGGCTCTAGGTCACTTCGGAAGCGGAGGGCATCCGATGAGGGTCCAGAAAACCCGAATATGGTTACTCAGAAACGGCAAAAGAAGATGCCTACCAGATTCGAGGGAATGATTCCCACTCCTCTTCCTAGGAATATGAAAGCAGTCCAAGCATTAATCGAAAATTCCGCAGAGAACAACTTTGCTGCCCGCCAGTCAAGATCACGAAGAACGCGGAAGACCGAAAAATCGCTCTGCAACATTCAACGGCAACCTGGAAAGCTCATTTTTTCTTTTCGCCTCAATAGTACAAAACTAAGTAAAATATTGAGCTCCCGACCGAAACCAAAAATCTCAAGACGACGACCTCCTAAACCACCTCCAGTGGTTGAATCACCCCAACCACACTTTCACCCCATCACTCCCTCTGCATATAGCGCCCCCTTCTACTCCTTTCACGACCGAGAAAACGACGAGCTTAAATCGAAACCCTACGGGGGAATATTATCGGAAGCTGACGCTGACACTTCAAGAACACTCCCTCTTGCTCCAGATCGGGAGAAGTTCGAGGCTGCTCGTCAAAAAGCTGAGGAAGAGTGGAGGCAGAAAATGAATGCTATAGACCAGTCCGGGGAACCGGCACCCCGTGCGTCGCAAAAGATCTCTGGCCCACCAAGCAAAATAAAATACATCAGCTTTGGTGGCTACGAAATTGAAACCTGGTATGCTGCACCTTACCCAGAAGAATACAGTCGAAACCGGGTGCTCTATATCTGCGAATTTTGTCTCAAATACATGAATTCCGATTTTGTTGCCTGGCGTCACAAACTGAAATGCCCAGCGAAACATCCACCCGGAGACGAAATTTACAGAGACGGATCAGTGTCTATTTTCGAAGTTGATGGCCGCAAGAATCCAGTATATTGTCAAAACCTTTGCTTGCTTGCAAAGCTCTTCCTGGGATCAAAAACTCTATATTATGACGTCGAGCCGTTTCTGTTCTATGTCATGACAGAATATGATGAGCTAGGCTGCCACTTTGTTGGATATTTCAGCAAGGAGAAAAGACCCAGCTCATCGAATAATGTATCATGTATCCTCACCCTCCCCATTCACCAACGGAAAGGCTATGGTAATCTCCTGATAGACTTCTCCTATCTCCTAACGAGGGTGGAGCGGAAAACTGGGTCACCAGAAAAACCACTCTCCGACATGGGTCTGGTTTCGTACCGTAACTATTGGCGCCTCGTCTTATCATACCAGCTGCGAAATCAAAAATCCCCTGTGAGCATCGCCGAGCTTTCAGAGCGCACTGGTATGACAGCGGATGATATAGTGTCGGGCTTGGAAGGATTGCGAGCCCTCGTACGGGATCCCCAAACAAAGACCTATGCTCTCCGGCTAAATTATCCATACTTCGAAGAATATATCCGAAATTGGGAGACGAAGAATTACATACGACTCAATCCAAATGCACTAGTCTGGACTCCTTATGTGATGGGACGCAGCAATCAGTCACACTATGATCGGGCACCGTTGCATACAGTCGCTCCGCGAGATGAGCCCGATGCAGACGGCGATGTCGATATTGACGGCAACAGTGATAGCAATATGGATGCTAGCCGGGCAGAAAACATGAATGGTGATACAAGTAGCACGCAAGATGGGCTCATCAATGGGCACAGCCACACCAGATACGCCTCGCCTCCATTTGACCCCCCTGGCCCGCCAGCCATGAATATGACGGCATTCGATGGCCCTTCATCGAGGCAAACCAATGGTGCCAGGACTCCATCAGCGTCGTCCACGATACAAAACCCAGCAGCCGGTATCCCTCCGACGCGCTTTGAAATATTCCCTCCTATCCAAGGGACTATTACCAAACGTCGACCAGGTCGGCCCTTCGGCTCAACTCGTGCTAATAAGTTCAAAGGACGCACGACCACCGCCACCGCCACTGCCACTGCTCCCACTACAGCGCGGACAAGCGGCCGCAGTACTCCAAAGCGAACGGCCAGCCAGGTTACGGGCACTCCGACACCTTCAAGTCGAACGGGCACCCTTAGAAGGGGGAGAAGCAGTAGATTCCTTGACCCTAATGATGCTGATGAAGCTATGGGGGATGGTATCGAGAGCGGGGAGTACGGGGAACTTGAGCAGCTGGAAAGGACGGCAGATGAATCCGCCCAGATAGATTCAGCTAACATAGACATTAGTGCCCGCTCCGGATCTGAGCCTGGCGTGCGTTCAAGCAGCAAAGGCAGGGCTACTGGCGCCCTTGAGAACGGCAACACGAATGTCGATAAGGTTGCTTGTGCCATCACACCGTCTCAAGCGGACAAAGTCAGTAAGCACCGTGCAATAGATATTAATATGGTGGACCATAAAAGGCACCGGGCCGCTAGCCAGCAGGCGGACAGCGATCGGCAGTCGATCGATGGCATTGATGAAGGCACCTAAAAATATTTTTTTCGAAATTGACAGCTGCTACATCTGCTTGCCATCTGCAATGGAGACTTTTTTTTGATACTGACGAGCGAGATATTTGCCTTTTGAAATGTCATAGTGGCGTTGGAGCTATCTGCCATTCCTCTTGCTTTTCTTGCGGTAAGGTGCGCGATCAGGAGTTTTACATTGAATTTATTGGGGGATGCGAGCTATTGAAAGATATATCTTTTCCTTTTCCTTTTATACCACTGTGTTTTTGCTCTTGATTCTTCTCCTTTACCAGGACAATAATAATGTCCAACACTTTTCTTCAGATATACACGTCCTATTTCTCATTTTCGGGTCTCGCACCTTGAAGTCATCACTGGCGTTCCGTGGTTGTTACATTCCCCCCGGCAATGTGCGCCGTTCTGCAACTCTACCGTCGACATTAAAGCTCATATTCTCCTATATGCACCTTGTAACAGACACCCATTTCATTTACAATCTGTACTTTACTATTATTGGTTCCTTAGTTTACATACTTTTAAATCGATGGATAGTTTGGCGAATGGAATAATTTCGGCACATATATATTTTTATTCTCGGGAATCTTTTCTTCTTTAAAAATTTTTCCCTCATATATTTCATATATTGGTGGGTATGGTCCTTTAATATATATATACTTCAATAATTCAACCCCACCTTACCACAGTACAGCCTGGTGTTGGTCCTTCGTACCTTGCGTCTAGAACTACCAAGTTACCAGGGTTCAAGCTCATCATCCTCCATGTGTCCGTGCAATCTCATACTAATGATTTGTCCTACACCATGCCTATAGATGTTTCAAGGCAATTTCCCCTTCGATTTTGGTTTGAAAGGGATCCATTTTTGGTGTTTCAAATTTGGCATGTTGCTCCAGTCACCCCGACAATGTAAAGCAGGTTTTTGTGTGGTAACTTACCTAGGCATCCAGAGGGAATGGCGAGAAGGGCCTAGGTAAAATCGTTTACGCTTATGACTGATAACCTTCATAGTCCGGGAAGATTAAACCTTTTTTTCCTTGTGATTGCTTTCTCGCGCACTAGGTATTTACTGAAGGTTTGCGTCATTGCACATGGGGTGAAGGCAGAACACAGAGAGGAAGCCGGAATCAGGCGGGAGAGTTAACTCTTCGCACGTCCCACGTATTTTGAACAGACCCGTAGTGCAGTACATTCCCGTACATATATTTGACATAAAGAGGAGAATGTAGTCATCATCATTAATTTGCTTCACTCTCATTATGTGGTGGTTGCGGACAACTAGGGCGACTCGTTTGGAGCTCTCCCGAGCCTTGTCAGGGCTGCCTATTTAAATTGATATCACGTGCAACTGGTTGTTAGCGCCTGGGCCGCGATGGGCCAGGTGCATTGAAAAAACCTTGTGGAGGTCTGGCTGCCATCAAAAGTGTGGCTGGATGGTGTAGTTGGTTATCACGTATCGCTCACATGGCTAGCTTCGACAGGCGAAAGCTTAGTCAGCTACTACATGTTCCGATAAGGTCCTGGGATCGAACCCCAGTCTAGTCATCATTATTCATTTTATTTTTATAAAGCTATTTTTATTCCCGGATTTGCTTTAATTTTTGAACGGTAACTACTAATGGAAGCATGCAAGAGTAGGGCTATTCCGACCTTCCACCCCATCGGGCGGAATTGGCGTTGAAGGGAGGGGCAAAGATAGGAAAGGGGAACAAAGAAATCTCATGATGCTGGGATTATTGGCGAATGAGCGCGGGCGGAGGAAGCCCTGCAATGAGGCGTGTCTTCGATCGACGCCCTACTTTCAACTAACTAATAATATTGAACAGACACCCCATTATGTTCATAAAATCGAACATCCTACATTTTTCACAAAGAAAATTTACGCGAAGGATTGCTTCTCCTCTCCTTTGTGCTCTGCAGGCGATAATGTGCAGGGTTGTGCAGGGTTACTGTGCATTTTGACTAGTTTAGCTACCTGGGTAATATCTCTCAACTGTTGTTTTGTGTGTTTTACAACCAGGTACTCCGTACTAAGTACGGAGTACGGAGTAGCAGTAAACGGAATACATATACGGAGTCCATTGAGGTAAATGCGTCCATACTCGAACATTGACTTTCTTTAGGCGAAAAACTGTCTTTGTCTGACAGCAGATGAAAAAGAAGAAGAAAAAGAAAGAAAATAGATTTATCTTCTTCCTCCTTGGCCCTGCATTTTTGGTAAACACAATCTTGACATCCCTACGGAGTACTCCGTAATACAGTACGTCGAATGAGGGTTAGCAGATATTTTGGTTAACTACCACATTACCTACCATATATGCGTCGATAGCCAAACCACAGTTCGGTCAAGTTATCCGAGGAAGCTTGAATAAGATTCGTGACCTTCTTTCCTCTATGCAGCTTTGATACCCATGGTATTCTCCCGTCACCAGGAACAAGGCCTTCTAATTCGCCCTGTTTTTGACTACCTGTGGCGATCGATCTTCATCGATCTCTGTGCTAATGTGGATTACGGAGACATCAGGGATGCTTGCTTTTCTTCCCCTATATATTTTTGGTATCTGAGTGCTGTGTGGGTGGGGGTCATATTAAGTATTAAATATATAGCTACTCCGTACGGAGAGTATATATATTTTTTCGAGTAGAGGACTCAGATCAATTGATGATATTGAAGCATGCAATATTATGTTATGTACATACATTACAACATACTCTGTAGCTGCATGGTTTTTGTATTTTTACGTTTTGCTTGCAATAAACCCCCTTTGTTCCATCATTACTTGAAAACAAAGGCTAGAAACTGCCTGAACAATCAATATCACGAAGATCAAACGCCCTGCATGTCCCACTTCAAATCAGGATATCAGGATATGAAGGGCGTATGTCTCTTTATCATATTCTGTATGCGCTTTTAACATGGTGGAGGGAGAAAAGGCCATCTAAAAGTACCTACTCTCACGTCGGGCGCAGAGAGAGGAGGGGGGGGGGAACTGCACTGGTCATGCGGAGAATAGAGCATCATTAATCTGTCCTTAAGAGCAAAATTTAATAATAAAGTCCATCATTCCTCCGCATCAATGGGATGTACGGGATATTTGCTTGGGTAAATCTTCCCTCCTGTTCAAGATGAGGATATGCTGGCCTTGAATATGCTGGCCTTGAGGTACTGTATTTATATCGATTGGGCGCCCGCGAGCTTGCAACATTATTATGAGTCAAAGATATGTGGGAAGTGGGTTCAATATATGAACTCATACATCCTAAATGCATGGCCCAAAATGTTATTTGCAGCCGAGAGATTCTTGTTTCGAAGATGAAACAGAGTGCCAAGGTGTCTCTGCGCAGGGCAACGATAAAAAGTAGACTCTGATATTTTGGCGCCTCCAGGATCGATCAGGTACCTCTCATGGTTAATCCTGAGCTGTAGTTTTTTTTTTTTTTTTTTCGCTCGCAGTAGTCAAGCAGACTTCCTTACTCCATACACCCAAGTAGTAGAGAACTATAACTAGTTGATGGGGCTGAGTAAAACGAACCCCAACGATCAAAGGCCAAGGGGAGCGGCAATCGAGTTTATCATTTAAGCAGCCTTGTATGTACAGTACCAAAAAGTGTTTTGTACGGTCCTCGTCCTGAAAAATATCCTGTAACTAGGTAAAATCGGTAAATCGCCAAGTGTGTACGGTACATATCCAGCCCACTTCTGAATTGCACCATGGAGCAGGGTTGATGCAAGGTAAATCTCCGTTCTTTTGGCGGGAGGTGCGGCGAGATAAGAGCCTTCTATCGTCAGAGGTTTTGCTTACCAGCCCGCCTGTTGATTACCTGTGTTTTGAGAAAGTAGAAAACAAAGAACAAGTATTGTGGGAAACCGGGGTTTTGACGTGCCCGGAGAACGCGGAAAGTAACAATAGGCAGTAAAATAGCACTTGCGTTTACTTGTATTTTTTTGTTTTCTAGCCCTCCTCATTCCCGGTCAATCCAGACTTCAGCACTGGATAGGAAGAAAAAGAGTAAAGGGGCGTTGTGTCAGCGTTAGAGCATTGATTTCGTAAATCCGTGTTATTTTCTGAGGTGTCCACATATTTCATGGAAACAAGAAGCACATTACGGAGTACATATATTAATAACAGCAAGACAATTCCTTTCGCATATGGCCCACAATTCAAAACAACAGAAGAAGGTATGCCGTCTTCCGTTTCTCCTGTGGAGTGGGTTGAAATGGGGGTTTCCTCTTCACGGTGATTGTTTTCTCATTCGGCTGTGACAAAAAAAATCAAATCTTGACGCGAGATACCCTGGTGAGAGAGTACTAAGCAAATAAATTCCAAATCCTACTACAAAGCGGCTACCAGCAATATGTACAGAGTAGAAACGAAGAGGTCCAAGCGGCCCGGAGCAACGTATGAAGATCCGGGAAGGGACCCCCCCACAACCTGGCCATGGGTTGTCTCTGTTTTCCCATATATGGAGCCAAGGTTGGCCAAGCCGACGGCGCCGAAGATGGATCTCCATCCAGTGAGCCATCATGACATTGGGTTGTGATTTAGTGCTAGGATGTGCTCCCCCGTTAAGCCTCTTGGCCAGTAGCTCACCAAACAGGCGGTAAAACATAATAGCCAAGGTCGACGAAGCAAAAAACAAGGATGACCGAAGAGAATTATGATACCGCGTACTTCGTACTCCGTAGTGGTTGCATACCGTAATTTATATTTTTTTGTTATTTGCTTGCCATATCTCATTGGTCAATCGATGCTCATTTCTCATGTGAGATGTAGCTAAAAGCGGCCTATGGAGGGCAGCGAATTTGCAAAATGCCATCAGGATGCGCAACAATGGTGCAGGTGAGTTTAGTCCATAAATGGCAATTTTCTGGTTTCCATACACTGGCAATCTGATGTGAATAAAGTTCGATCGAAGAAAATGATTATCCGGGGTCATGACTCATGAGACCAAGTCCCGAAATGCCTAGATTCGATCAAACAAAAAAAAGGGGGGGGGGGGGGGGGGGGAAATCGGTGCAAAGTTCGA